ACCAGAAACGAAAATTTCATCCTCAACTAATGTAGCCTGATGTCGATAACGTGCAACATTCATAAGAGGCGCATTGGTAAACGTGTGTGTAATTGGATTATATATTTCGACTGAATTTGTTGGAGTTATTGGTTGATTACTTGACATTCCTACAGCTCCACCAATTATGAGCACTGACCCATTTGAAAGTAGAATAGCCTTATGAAACGAACGAGGCATTCCCATAGAAGCAGTAGGAGTAAAAGTTCGATTAACTGGATCGTATAAATAGCAATCAAACAATGCATGTGTACCATTATTACCACCAGTGATTAATATTGCATTTATTTGTGAAATATATGTTGCCTGATGATGAGCACGTCCAGTTATATCGTTCATAGTTTCCAATGAAGTGATATTTAGTGTTCCAGCTGCTGTTAACTCCGTTCCGTCATATATCAAACCTACTCCAAAATATGAACTACCATTGAAACCACCGAAAATCAAATGATTTCCTGTAGTACCAATAGGTGTTACTGAATGGCCTTCAAGATTTCTTAATCGTGAATGATATGGTGTCAATTGTTGAAATGTAGATGAAGAATGATTGTATATTTCTAATGGTACTGAGTTATTAATTAATCCATGACCAGAAACAATGAGAATATTCGAATCATTAAGAATACTAATTTCATGAAAATAGCGTGGTTGACTCATTGGATGATAAAGTTGTGTACCACTAATCGAAAGAATTTCAGATTCTGAAATAAGGTTATTATTTTGTTGAATCCCTCCAAGAAGAATAATTGTATCAGAATTATTATAATACGTTGCTGTATGATGCATTCGTGGAACACTCATATTTGATACATTGTAACAACCAGTCCATGGATTATAAATATCAATCGATGATAATCCAGTCAAACCGTTAGCTGTTCCACCAGCAATCATCAAATAGCCACTTTGTTGAAGATATGTCATTGTGAAGTATACACGTGGAGTACTCATTGGACGAGCTTGTAACCAAATATTTTGTGGAATTCTTGGTAACGGACTACAATCTAAATAAGAAGTAGATTTTCTGCTTTATCATTAGTTCTCTTTTTTTAGTTTCTTACTATAATTCATCTCAAATATAACATGCTACACTGTTTTTGAATACCTTTTGATAGGAATATTATAGAAACCTGCCGTTTTCATTATTTCAGAAAAAAGACTCGGGGATGATCAAAGTATATCGAACCTTAGTTGATAAACAATTGATCAATTAGATGAATTCTTGATGGAAATTTTCACAAATGATATTCTGAAGCATTTACCTTTCGATTGAGACTTGATAAGATTAACCGATAGAAACGATTCTTCTCTTTTGATCTTCACAAGGCCAATACTCCTAGTCTATAGCATTCCAGTGTTATCAGTATTTTTCTGACACCTTCAATTTGAGTCAATTGATCTGTGGCTACTTAGTCACATGATGATATATGATTTTAGATTCAAACCTATCTGATGCGATTATTGCAATGTTTTTGAAATATCGACTCTTTCGTTACATGGAGACTGATTGTGAAATTTCAGAAATAATGATATAGCAATGTTAGATCATTTCGAATCTAAAAATAAATATTATCATTCGATTCACAAGGGTAAATTACTTCTGTCGAGCTGCTTTTTCGGATGAGCACAGATCAATTGGCTCAAATCAAGGAACCTCGGAAAAGCGTTATAACTCTTGAACAGGACCAGCTAGAAATGTCAACCTTGCATAAATCGAAAGGAAAATGGCATCAGAATATCGTTTTTAACAATATCCACCAAGAACTCATCTGATTGATCTATTCTTGACCCAAAAGTTATTTAAAGAACAGCGGAGCATGTTCTTTGTTGCAACAGATAATAGGATATTAAGTGTGAACTAAAACATTCTTTCGTTTTTTCTCTAGGACTATACGATTGATAGGGCTCAAGCTTTATATAGATACTTTGATAACTTTGGTAAAACTTTCACAATTGCAAAAACAAAGAAACACACTTTTCGATCATACTGGTGATAGTGTGATTGTCTTCAGTCTAAAAAGAAAAATTTTCCAAAACGTACACTGTCAGAGGTTGAAGCTTTTTCTAAATTTGGAATAGACATGTACAGGATAAGCTTTTTATTTCTAGTCTGACTGAGAGAAATTTCACAAGTCTTACTCTACCGGGCAAAATAGGGTAAACCTGTACATTTCTAGCTAAGAGAAAGAGAATTTCTCTATATCTTCCTATAGAAAATGATTACAGTTTTGTTAGAGCAAGCAATTTATTAATTATCTTGTCAGTTTATCTTTCATACTTCCAAGAAGTTTTTGAATTTTCGGCTTACATAATATATTTTAAAAATTCATTTGAAATATCAAAATTCATTAAACTTGAAACTTTACCTGGACTTGTACTAGGCAATATAGAAAGTGAAAGTGATGCTAATATTCGAGGCGTATTTGCAGAATATCCAACATATGATAATGTTCGATTGCCAATGTGTCTCGGGATGAATTCTAATGTAACAGTAGTATTGGATGTACCTGAGATAACTTCATTGTCTAATAACCACATACAAGTTAATCCAACTGGACAATTTGCAGATACGTTATATGTTTGTCTGTTTGAATCAATAGAGAATAATGTTGGACCGGTGATTGTATATGTTATGTTATCTAAAGTGAGTCGGTGAATTTTCTATTTTATTTTTCTTTTTTTGATTATTTCTCACTTGCTGCCGTTCCGGACGGAAATCGTTGTGAAAAATGAAAGAAAAGACTATGTGGATTAAAATTAGAATTTGGTTGTAATCTTAAAAGACATCTAACATAAGAAAATGGGAATCCTGGCTGTAATATGTCTAAAACATGCCCAAGATCTTGACGATTTGATGTATATTGAATTGGATTACCAAATGTATCACGTATAATATCACCATCATCATTATGAAAGCTCATTTGTACATTAACTATTTGATTTATATTACTCAATTGTCCAATTAATATTTGACTATCAAAGAAATTAGTAATACGAGGACTAAATTGTACTTCATATGCATCAGTTCCTGTTCTACTATCTGTTATAATATCTGCTAGACTTGTAAATGGAACAGTATTACCCGGACAAAATTCATTTAATCTATTTGTGAATTCATCTACATTAGACGAGAGTGACAAAAAAAAAAAGAAAAACATTAGAAAATTTATTTTTTATGTGTAAGTTAATTTTTTAACCTGATAACCAATCATCATTACTGGAAGAAAACGGAGATAAACCAAATATATTATTATTCATAGGATTTTCATCAATTTCTTGACCATGTATAATAATGAACTGTAAAATAAAATATTTCAAAAAATAAAATTTCAAAAAATGAAATACTTACTTGATAAGTTGATATGAAAATTATCGATGTAAAAAGCGTCATAACGACGCTGTTTATTAGTGACAACATATCAATGACGGACAATCTCGCCTTAAATTTTTTGTGCTTTTTTTTATATGATGACAAAAAAAAAGAAACAGATGTAATTTAAAACAGATTATATTCTATAAAACATTTCTTGAAATTAGAACACATTACAATTGTATACAGACAAATAGAAAAACTAAAGAAATTATTCAATTTTTGTATTCAAATAGCGAAAAAGAAATTGTCTACCGAACTAACTGTTTTACCTTTTACACTGTAGTAGATCGTATGATCTATAGTTATTGTGATAATCAGTGACACATTTTAGCTGACACTCGATGGAATAAACATCGCTGAAGATGTTTATTCATTTTTTTCGATATTTGCAAATGCTTTTTTCCTCCGAGCGTTGATAGTCTTATAAAAAAAAAAAAAAAAAACTTCAAACATGATTTCATTGAATAATTTAGTAAATATTTTAGTACTATTGGCAACTAAATTTTTTTCAAAAAATGTTTCTTCATTTATTAGTTTAAATATAAGAAAATTTAAGTTATAACATGTTATTGTAAGCATATCATTTCTAACTCGAACATGTACTATCCAGTATATCGACCATAAAATGTTGAATTTGTTTTTATATTGTCATCTGGTTTTATTTTTTTTATCCAACTTTGAGTTTATCAATTAAAAGAATAGAAAATCTGAATGTATTTTTTGTCAATAACAAATTATTTGAATATTTTTACTTTAATCAATTTATTTGCTAGCATTGAGCATTTAATGGCATAATTATTTTTACGATAGAATTGGATATTTTTATAACGTGATGCTTTTTTTGTTTTGAGTTGTACTTCTTTCACTTCTCTCGAAGCTAATGTTCATTGTTATTCAATGAGAAGTTCTTTCAATGTCTTTATGTAATATAGTCATTCATCTTTTGTCTTATTCGATTTTATTTTAAATTATTTTCTTTGACTGAGTAATTTAACTTGATCAACTTCTTGCAAAATGAAACACAAATTTTCAAGGACTATTGCAATTGAATTTTCATAAAGGAGAGTGATAATAAGAGAAAATCCGAATGATATTTATCTTCGTTAATGGTTTAAATGATTGAAATTTCGCCTTTTTCCGAAAAATACTTTTCAACATCTGGAATTTATATTAGAATGGAGTTGAAATAGATTCAATGACACATTTTATACAGAGTTATCTCGGATAGAAAGTTTAAAGTCAATTGATACTTTCGAAAACATCGTTGGTTTTCTAATGTAGTTGATGAAAATTTTATGTCAGTCTATGATAGTCTCTCGATTGTAAACTTTTTAGCTTTGTACTTAATCTTTCTATCCCTATAATAATGAAAAATCAATTTTGAAAAGATAGAATTTCTGTTTAGATTGTTATCTTAAATGCATTTTTCATATAACATAAAACTCTTGTCTTTAGAATCGGAAAGTATTAGTGCATGACACAGCCAAAAAAAATTATTCAATAATGAATTATTATGTAATACTTGTAAGCTTTTTATATGGAAAATATTAAATTCATTGTATCATCGAAAAATTACAATACTGATCCGACTCTTTAGTTGATTTATCGATTTTATTGAATTGATATTTCAACCTTGAACAAAGAATAGTCTACTTTGACTCACTTTCTGGATAATGATTTTCCTTTTCTATTGCTTTGTTGATCAATAATCTTTTTATTTTATTTCATTTGTTCTGTTCTTTTTTGAACTTTACTGTACTCCATCAAGTATTTTTCACCTATCCTTCTCAACAACGTGATGTGTACCATAGAACAACTGAAAAAGAACTCTGACATGTGACTCGAATGAACCAATGCCATGCATTACACAAAGAGGATGCATAAAAATGACTAGTGAAGTATAACGAAAGCACACAGTGGAAAAAACACATTGTATGTCTAAACATAAAGCATGATCGTAAATTAGAAGAGATCTTCTGAAATTTGCACATCAACCTAATATGATATGTGTTTAATTTTCATTGTCGTTACTAAAATGTCTCTGCAAATAAAAAGAAATTATATTTAAATTCTTGTTTGGAATAAAGCTCAATTATTGATATTCCAAGTAAAGGATCACTCATAAAGGATATCCAGGTAAAAAGCACATTTTTTGAATCTCTTCTCCTCGTCAGTTTCATTGACCTCACTTCCTTCCTGGACGTTCAAAAGCGCTCGTGGGGTTCAAAATTTTCGAACCTGAATTTGACCGGGCCCAAAACTAACCAAACAAGCTCTAACATTCAGTAAAACCTAATCCTGAATTATTCCAATACTGTAGTCATATTCAACTGATTCATTCACTTCATTTCCTATTTAATAACGTTCTCTAAAACAAACTAACCTTGAAAATTTCGCCGAAATTTGTGCGAGAAAAAAAGTATCTAGACGTCCTCTATTAATAATCCCTAATTACATGCTTTGTTACTTTCAAATAATATCAAAATACAAATTTAGTTGCTCAAATTTATTGAAAAAAACTAATAATGTATGCATAATGATACAACAAACCAATTGTGAAACATATATAAAATTCAATGAATGTATCTTAAGCAATGTGATGAGTAGCATTATGACCAGCTTTGGTTCGGCGTAAGAAATGAATTCGACCAGCCGCAAAAGCAGTGAAACCGAGAGAGAACATAGTAAGTAAATGAGCTGTTTGATACAGATTAGCTGAATAGTCATTATAAGTAAGATAACGGGCACCTTCAGCTTTGCCTGCAAGCATAAAAAGGCAGGCAAGAAAGAATGATGCTGGTGGAATAGGAGTAGCCCATGCATGAAAGTAACGAAGTGCCATAATCAATGTAGCCACTGTGCCAAAAGCAAGAAAGAGAATACCAACAATACATAGAGAACCAGCATTTTGCATACGTTGATTGTAATCTGTCATCCATGGATATGATGAACTATATCCTGGATAGCCATAGAGACTGCTGTCACGATTTGTACAATTGTTTGTTACATCGCTTGTTGATACATCACATGTATAGAAAAAGATAGCACTATTAGTTTTTGCATAAGTTCCAGTGCCAGTTAAAACATACAATGAATACCATCTCGGTGTACCAATACCAAAACAAGCAAGTATCAAAGCTATTACATCAAAAGCAACTGCAATAAAAGCAATCGTTTGACTAAAACTATCGGGTGGTAATCGAGCCATTTTTCTTTCTTTGTTACTAGATACAAATAAAGAAAAATATGTATTTCAATTACTCTACAACTTTACATACATTCAATTTTTCAGTTGTATTTTTTGTTGAATTCTAGTTGAAATTAACACGATATGTAAAACTTTTATATCTCTGTACAAGTAGTTAAGTGCGTTTTACAATGTATACAGTAACAGGTTGCTATAAGATATTGTTTTGTGTAAATACAAAATTCAATAATAATAATTCTTCTGCTCTATTGTAAATGTGTGAGACAGTACAATAGAGTTCACATAGATGTACACAACTCTTAAATTAGATCATAAAAAATGAAAGGAAGAAAAAAAGTTCCTTGTTGGCAACAACTACATTAGTTCTAATAATTCATTCTGTAGTTGACATCTATGTGTAAAAGCTGTCATTGTATGAAAGTTCATCTCTTCTGTTTTTTTTTTGTCTTATTATTCTTGAGTCTTATCCGCTTGATAATTCAAGGTGATGAATCAAAAATTCAAGGGAAAAAAATCAGAAAGTGAGAGAGAGAGAAAATTTATATAAAACATTCCGATTATTAGAAACTATCCATGATTCATTGAGGATTGCATTTATATAACAACGAATAAAAAAAAAGATTGAACAGAGACGAAAGAATGACGAAGAGAGAGAAAGAGTGATAAAGAAGGAAAATAGTCTTGACAAGTTTTTTTCTTCTTCAGGGCAACGAGTAAACGACAATTCTTGATTCATATATCATACAAGTGCTTGATAATAAACAAAATCTTGTCATATATAAAATTCCTTTCTAACAACACAAAAAAAAAACGATCAAATATTTCGTCCACTACTACGTAATCATATACAACTAGACGTTATTGTAGACACACTAAACAAACGTATAATTCATTAACGCAGCGTGAAGTACAGTACTCATGTAGATTGTTTTGTGTTTATAACTAGATGTACACATCTACAGTTCATATTTTGTGTTTCAATGGTATCGAAAAATAAAAAATACTTGTTCAAACATGAAATAAAAATATCAATATCAACTTAACGCTAGTCATTTTCAGATTTTTAAAAGAAAATTCCACATTCTTTAAAGATGGTCTGGTAGAAAGGTAAAGTCTTGTGATAATTAAAATGAAAACAGTAAGAAAAACTAGCTGATGCATGTTTCTATGTCTAATTGTCAATTTGTTTTTAACCTTGATCGATTGATCAAAATGTAAGGTTTCGAATAACATTGGTAGAAGAAAAAAAAACTAAATTTATTAGGCTAAAAACACTTTTTCGAAAAAAAACAATGATTATTAAATTGTAGAAACGATTATTCGTTTGCTACGAAATATCACTTTCTTGATAATCAACATTCGAATGAGTTTCAAACTGTCTTTTGCATACAAGTTCGACTCGTGTATAGTGTTGAACCCGAAGCAACCAACATTGGACAGATCACATCTTTTATTGCAAAGGAAGGATATCTTTCTTCTAACAGAACACGAAAAAGAGAATTTCAACTCTGTAGGGAAAAAAAGTATATTTCGGTTGATATAAACAACGATGAGACTATAGTAACATTTCTATTGTATCTATGAGTAACCTTTTCCAGTTGTACATGCATATAAAGAATATTGAGTATCTTATGCCGTTTGTTCTCAATCAAACAATAAGTTGCATTTTTTCATCGTAGAAAAATCTATTAATGAATTGGATTATTTGTTTTAACGTAATAGATCTTGATTATAAACGTCACTTAGTCAACTTCTTTTCTTTTCTTCATCTTCTTAATAACCTTGTAATTGCAAAAAGTACATATATTTATTTTGGGATTTTTCAAATCCACTAAGGATACATTTCATTTTGTGTCAAAGAACAAAAAAACATTACAGTTCATCAAGTTTGAATTCTACAAGAATGAATCTTTTACTCAATAGTGTTATTCTAACCATCAGTAGACATTTATTGTAATTCTATAAAAAAAAAAACAAACAACCAAATTTGACTATTTTCTTTTACTTCATAATATTTTGTCGATTTCATATGCAATATTTTACTATGAGAAGGTATTCTTTTCCTATTTATTCATGTATACATAGCTTAGTAAGTCGATTATTATGTTACGATGAATTTTATATTGATGAAATTAATTTTCTTTGAGTTCAATAAGTTCATGAAAAAGCAAAAAGTTAAGCCACATGAACCATGTATAGATTTATTAGATAAAATGTTTTTTCTTCAAGTAACGTCAGTTTATTGGTATTTGATTTAAAAAAAACAGAATTTTTGATGTATGAGAAAATTATTTCATTAACAATTCGAATAAATCATTTTATCTATTCTCTAAAAACTCGAATTCTATCAATTAATGTTGACTCTTATAAACTCTTGATGTATTCTCTTTGATTACAATCGTAAAAATTACGTTTTAGAGTGAATAAATATTGTTCCCAGCGTATTTTGAATTATTATTTTAGACATCATTTTGCTCTTTTTTTTTTTCTTTCATTAACTTATATAGTATTAGTAATTGTGTAATTCCCAGAACTTGATCACATCATTCGACCAGTTATTCAACTTCTAAATATTAAATTTTGAGAATCAGTTTTTCTTTCAGAACAAAATTATAAGATAGGGCGAATGATTTTAATAATCAAAATTCAACATAACAAATATTCATCAAATATGTTTTAATAGTAGTCATTTTCGACCGATTTAAAAAAAAAGATACGAACTTTTAGTCTTGAAGCTTCTATCTGTAGTGTGTTGAGGAAACTAGCAGCGGATTCGAGTAATGTTAGTAGTGATTCATCTAGGAACATGTTCCTAAATTCCTATTCTTCTTTCATGTACAAAATGACAAGCTTCATTCAATAGTACGCTAAGATTCTCTATAGTCCAAATCATATCTCAGAAAATTCTAATACTCTTCTATTTCACAATAGGAAATATGAGACTATTATAGTAAGTATGCCAACAATGCACCTAGTAAATTGTTACAAGGCTTCTACAATTTATTTTCAGTACAGCTTGAAAGGATTGGTGACCGATGAGCACGCTAAACTAAATGAATGAGAATGGGAATGAAGAAATGATTGAGAACCTTACCTACACCGACATAAATTCAATGATGTTCTTTTATACTGGATGTTGTCGTGCTCATCGTTCCGGTTCCAAACTTGACAAGCTTCATGAAATTATGTAATCTTCGAAAACTTCACAATGCATATTTTTTCTGCTTTCAGATTCAATTATAAATAAGAATGTCTCCATGTGAACTTTGTATAGAAGTTTTTACGAAACTTCTTTTTTTTTGTAAACGTGATGCATATGAATCAATATAGTAGTCAAGCGCATTGTCTTCATAACATTTGATATTAAGTGCTTGTTTTTCAGGGAAAATGATCTACTGAGTAGCAATTTTTTTCTGCACCTTTCATTGACTGAACAGTTCTGAATATGATCATATTTTATTAATAACCAACAAGCATACATTTTCACATAAGAGAAAAGAAAATAAATCAAACAAATTTTGAGTGTAGAATGTACAAATGAAGTAATCGCGTTTTTAGATAGCATCAACTTGACGTTGATCAAAATTTTTTAACAATTCTTGGAGGCAGCCCAAATAATCTTAATGGAGGAGGTATGGAACTGATGTAACTGGCTAACGTATAGAGACCAGCGGGTCTGGGTCCGGGTCCATATGTGATTTACTTTCAGATCCGGTTTGTATTCAGCTAAAAATATAAATATTGAAGGGCTCAGGTCAACGTATAATATTTTCTATATTCTGTTTCCAAATTTCTTGGCTATTTTTCATATTGTATTTAACAAGTCATTTGACATACAAATAACAAATGAAGTTGAAAAAAAATAGACGAATGTGAATAACATGTTTTGATTACACCTAAATATATAGTATTTATTTCATCATAAACAAAATTAATATTTCGTTTTTATTCTTATTCATCGTCTTCAATAGATATATCACTATTTTTATGAATAATATCTTCATCACTAAACAGATCGTCGCCAAAAGTTCGAATCTTTTTGGTTATCGATGATGATGTTGATGACAACTGTTCTTGCAACCAATAGTCAGCTAAAACCATGAGCCTTCACTTGTTCATATATACAGAGGGTGCTAGATATTGGCGAAACACTTAACGGGTCCGAGCCCGAATATATCAAGCTTGGGTCCGGATCTAGAAAACTAATACCACCCGGGTCCGGGTTCGGGTCCATCAAAACCTGGACCCGCTAGTCTCTAAATGTTACCTAGAGCATAAATGTCTCTAGTCCGGTTGGAACCAGGAAGAGTTTGCCATTGAATTTCTATTTCAAAGTTTCTACTATTTTTTGTAATTGTATGACTAATTATTTTTAAATATATCTATTTTGTTGACATGAACTGTAAAAATTTGTTTTAAGGTTTTGACATAAAATTTGATCGGCTTGTTTTTTTTTTAATATAAATAATATAATTTTAGTGATCATCTACAAGTTCGTTTGCCATATGCAGATGATGAAGAATATATCGATTTAGGTGCTGCTGAATTATCATTTTATGCTATATTGGTTGAATTATTAGGTCGATGTGCACCATCGGAAGAAACTATTAAAATGGGAAAACAAAATGCTATTCGGGCAAAATCAATTCTTAAAAGTCTTGTTTCAATGCATGATCTTGAAGGTGTTCTTGGTCTTAAATTTCTTTTATCAAGTAAATAAAATATCTTTCTTTTCTTTTTTTAAATATAATTATTTTTCAATAAAAGATGAAAATTCAATGCCACCTGGTCTTCAGCCTTCTCATAAAATGTCAATTATACTTTTTCTTGAACGTGTCTATGGTATTCCTGATCAAGAAACATTTTTTCGTCTTATTGAAGAGGCATTTC